AGAGAATGGAATAGTAATACATGCTTCTACAAGAATAAACCTTGAAGACATCCTGCTAAGAGAGAGAAGACACAAAAGACCATGAATGACATGATTCGCTTTATATAAAATGCTCAGTAGAGGTCCATCTATAGAGATTGGAAGTGAATTAATGTTAAACTAAGACTAGGATAGGGTGAGGAGTGAGAAGAAAACAGGGGATGACTATTAATAAACACCGGATATCTTGTAAGGTTGGTGAATGTTCTAAGATTGTGATAATGCTTCTGAAAAAATTGTAATATACACTTTAAATGGTGGATTGTATGGAATGTGGAAAATTATTTTTTTAAAGGGTTATGCTTACATTACAGTAAATTGACCATGAAAGAAAAGGTTATCATTATTTGTGTCTCCACTATCTCATTGTTACTTAATTCCCAGCAAGAAAGAAAAAAACATGCAAAGTCAAAGCTAAAGGCAAAGCAGACCTCTTAAAAGGCTTAGTTTCCACAAATTGCTTTACATCCTTTCATTCAGGGTTCTTCTGCTACATGAAGGCCACCCAAGGCAGTGTAAAGTCCCTAAGAATCGCATTTTTTTATTTGTTGTTTGAGCCCATTGTTACTGACTTCATTCCATCTTGATTTTAGGTCAGAGAGTTCAAACCTATTCTTGCTCCTCAAGGTTAAATAACAGGATGTTTGACCTAAGATGTAGCTACTGGATGTGTTGACCATCAGGACCCAATAACAGGATGTTTGACTTAGGGTGTGGTTACCAGATGTTTTGGATATTGGGGAGGTAATTATGTTTGTTTGTTCCTTGTATCATGGTAAAGAAGTATTTTGCCCTTCCATTTTGCTTAGGGTATGTAAGGTCTATGAGTAATGGGCTTGGGGTGTCTTCGATATTCAATGAGTGCCCTCCCTACTCTTTCTTCTCTTGCCTCTTTTTTTTTCTCAATCCTCACTCCCCCTTTCAGGCACATTCGAACTCATTAGATGGACTTGAAAATTTGTGTTCCAAGGTGGCATTTCACCATCAATCATTACCAGTTTTATGCCATGCTAGGAGATGAAACTTAGAGCTTTCTGTATGCTAAGCAAGTACTCTAACAACTTAGCTACATCCTGGGCCCCAAGGGTACATGAGTTTAGTTGGGAAAAATATCATACACTTCCTTGGAAAGTCTTTTCACTGTGTCTCCTCTCAGGACTCAAGGCATGTTCCCAGTAGTCAAAGCAGAGACTTATAACTGGTGAAAGTGCTGAAAATAAGTGATTGATGAGGGCTCAGCCCTAAATAGAACATCTGTATCAACCACCACCCCAGGGTTCAAGGAACATCACAGAAGATGGGAAAGAACGAACAAAAGAGCCAGAAGATGGGGAGGAGTGCTGTGAAACACTGTTTTCTGGCCATGACATGCCCTTGTACTCATAAACTCACTGCATCTACGATTACCCTCACAAAACCAAGCCAACAAGATCAGACAACATTCTGATAAACAACACTAATTGGATTCAGTGGGTTACAAGAAAAAAATGAACAAAAGGAAAGAACAAGAAGTGGAAGGGAAATATGCCGGGGATGCTTAGATGGGTATGACCAAGATTCATTGTTTTCTTGTACAATATTTTCAAAGAATAAATGGAAGATAAAAAACAAGTAAGTAACTAGAAATAAAACAAAGATGGTCTCTCTCCAAAGATTCAAGAATTAGTATTCAAGCTCTTTGCATTGACTTTGGCATAGATACTTCATTTTTCTCTCCTAATTTAACAAAACTCATTAGGTTTCATAGCTGTCATTTGTTGTCTTACAGTTCTGAATGCCCAAACAACCTGGGGATGTATCTTAGTGGTATAGCACTTGCCTGGCATGTTGTGACTCTGATTTCTATCTTTAAAACTACCAAAAATTGGAGTTGTATTGCACTGAGCTAAAACCCAGCATCTTCGGGGTTGTTTGCCTTTGGAGGCTCTAGGGAAGAATCCATCCTCTGGGCTTGGTGTACTTGCTTCTCTTTTCAAAGCCTAACATTTTTCAACTTCTAGTTCCTTCTTATGAAGGGTTACATTGGGTTCAGAAAAGAATTGCGAGGTAGTGCCCCTGTTTTAAGTTCTTTAATTTTCTGCAAAGATTTTCTTCTATAAAGTAACATTATATTAGGAGACTATTATTCTGCCATACATATGTGACAAAGAGAACTTTTTGATTTGTGAACATGATCATTATGGTTTCCTTTAAGTACCTCTGAGCATGGTTAGAAAAACCATCCACTTTCTTTCAAACCCTGACAGCCTGAACTTACGTATTGCTGTACCCATTGTGCAGACAATAACACTGAAGTTCTGGAAGGCATAATGACTTGGCATGAGTCCATAGCTGTTAGTCCATCCCTCTCCTTTTGCCAAGTACATGGTTTTATTTTTTGTTTGGTGCTCGATTCTTACTGCTTTTGTTGTTGAAACAGGGTCTCAGTTTACTGAAGCTGGCTTCAGTCTTGCAATGTTGTTGGGATAACTTTAACTCCTGATTCTTTTGTCTCCATCTCCTAACTGCTGGAATTACATGTGTGTATCATCAACCTGGCAAATTTGGTGCTTTTAAACACTACCAGGAAATCCTATTTGTCCTCCCATGGTCACTATGCCAACTCCTGTCTGAGACTGTTACTACTAACCTCCCCTTTGTACCTTTCCCTGTGCAACCTTATGATGAAGCTCTGTGACAGCCTGTGAGACCTGTTACTCACACAATATCCAACTAGAACTCAGATGGGCAAGATGCCCATCTGTCTGCTTTAGTAGGAAGTGGAGACAGTCACTTGACATTTGTGCTGTGCTCACTGTGTATTAGGTATGGTACCAGACTATAGTTACCTGTGCAAAGTGCTTGAGGAGGCCAGATGTTGATTTAGATACCTTCCTTCCTCTATTTTTTGTCATGTTATTTTTAATGTTTATTTATTTGTGTGTGTGTGTGTGTGGTGTTGGGGTGGTGAATGTGCCATGGCATGTATGTAGAGGTCAGAAGACAATTTTAGGAAGTTGGTTGTCTCCTCCAACAATTTGGATTCTAGGTATTGAGCTCAGGTCACCAGGCTTGTGGCAGGAATGTTTACCCGTCTTACTGACCCTCACCATCTTATTTTTTGAGATATGGTCTCTCACTGAACCTGTAGTTCTGATTGGCTTGTAAGTAAACCTTTGGGTTCCACCTATCTTTGACCCCTACAGTCATGTGGTTATAAATATCTGCCACCACATTTTGCCTTTTTTTTTATCCAAGGTGCTAAGTAGCTTCGAACTCAAGTCCTCATGTTTGCATTTTCCTCATGGATCCACCTCCCCAGACCCTTATTTTATTTATGAGAGTCTCATGTAACCCAGGCTGCTCTAGATTTCACTATGTAGTCAAGGCTGACATTGCGTCCTTGATCCTCCTGCCTTCGTCACTCAAGGGCTGAGATGACAAGTGTATATCACACACCTTGCTCAGCTTTTTTTGTTTGCTTGTATTTGTTTTTTGAGGCAGGTTTTCTTTGTGTAGTTTTTGAGTCTATCCTGGAACTCACTCTGTAGACCAGGCTGGCCCCGAACTCACAGAGATCTGATGGGGAATGTTCGTCTGTGTATATGTTTGTCTTATTGGTGGATGAATAAAACACTGATTATCCAGGCAGAATGATAGGTAGGACTAAGAGACAAGGAGGATTCTGGGAAGTGTAGGCAGAGAGGAGTCGTCATATGATCCCAGGAAGTGACATAGCTGGGCAGAAACTACCACTAGCTAACAATAGAAGCCTGAAAGTATGTACAGACAGGCAGGAAGTGAGGTAGCCTGGCAGTAACAGTATATAAGCAGGGACAAACAGGAAATCTTTCTCTTCTCTACCAAGTTGTAGCAGGCAAAGGAGTTGCAGGTCCGGTAAGCCAAGACCACATGGAAATACTTAGATTAGTAGATATGAGGTAAGAATAAGAAGCCTAATTCACCGGCCAACAGATTTATACTAATATAGCCTCCGTGTGTTTCTTTGGGACAGAGAAGGGAGGCAGCACCAGCCAGGCCAGAAAGCTCACATTACAGATATCCACCTGTCTCTGCCTCCTGAATTCAGGGATTAAAGGTGTGTGCCACCACTGCCCGGATCACTGCTTTTATCTTAAACAATTCTGTATATAACTGATGTCCCAACCATAACAGATTTCCAATTTTACCACCATGGTTTGTACTGTACTTTACCCTTAAAAAGTTCCCCATGATTCTAATTTCAAGTGTATTTAGAATGTATAAGAATGTGAAGTACAGATATTAAAGATTTAGTTTGTGGCCTTTCCCAAACCAAGAATCTTGTATTCTTTTTTTAAATCTGGTTCATTAATTGTATGTAGATGTAAACAAAAGTATTTCCTGGCTTTCATGTGATAAATTGAGTCATACAATGGTTGTTTGATTCAGAAAGAAAGAAGAAAAGATAATCTAGGAGATATGAGTTTAAGGCACCCACTACTAGAATCTGTAAGCCAGACTCACATTAGCTAAAACACAAAAGAGTCACTTACTCCATGACTAAGAAAGGCCTGCCTAGTTTATTTGGATTAGGCCTAGAAATTTTCATGTTTATGTCAGAAAAAAACCTCAAATCATTATGATCCTGAAAATGGCCACATAAGGTTGTTGGGTCAAGAGACTATTGTCTTAAAAGGAAGAGACTTGAATATATGTCTATATTAAGCATGCAAAAAGCAGAGATAATTAAAAATAAGGAAGAACGCTGGGAGTGTGGATCAGTTGGTAGAGCACTAAGCCTGAGCATGCAAGGAACCCAGTAATCAATGATCCTTTGGTTCAAGTTCCTGCTTGCATTCCTGCCCTAGCTTCCCTCAATGATGAACTGTGACCTGAAAGTGTAAGTAAAATAAACCATTTCATCCCCCAAGTTGCTTTTAGTCAAGATATTTGTCACAGTGGAAGACTGACACTAGAACACTGTTATGTTTCTGCCATAGGGCTTTCACAAAAAAACCATCATTACAATGGAGAAAGATGTCAACTAACAGGAAAGTAATTCCAGCACTCAGAAGGCAGAAGGAAGAGGATCTCTCCAGGAATTCCAGGGCAGCCTGGTTACATAGTGAGTCCGGGACTGCATAGTGAGACCTTTCTCTGGGAAACATTGAAAGAAAAATTGGTCATGTTAGTACATGCCAGTAATCACAACACTTAAAAGGTGGAGGCAAGAAGACCAGTTGTTCTAGGTTATCCTTGGTCGCATAGCAAGTTTGAAGCCAGTTTCAGACACATGAGACCTTGTCTCAATAAACCAGAGAATACACACACACACACACACACACACACACACACACACACACGCACGCACACACACACGCACGCACGCACGCACACACACACGCAGTAGAGACAGAAGCCAAAATTATGAATTCTAATGTTTACATATAGAGAGGGGTGGCAGAAGGAGAGCAAAATATGGGAGTGGAGTGATATGCTGAATGTATAATATATATTTGTATAAATGGCTGAAATGGCTATGATATATATACTTAGCAAATTAATTTCATGTGCAAAAATATTACCTAAATGACTATATACTTGAAATGAGTGAATTTCCTAGTATGTGAATAACATCTCAATACATCTATTTTTTCTAACCATGACTTGTAAACTTTAAGTGGATGCCATTTATCAGACACAAATTAGGCTTCAATAAAGCCAAATTACAAAAAGACACATAAGGGTGAGTCCTGTGCTCCAGTAGCTCTGAGGAGGAATTCATCTTCCACCAAGAAGGAAGAGTACAGGCCCCAGATGGTCACTATTTTAACAGCTAACAAGGAACTGTGCAGAGAGAAGAGAGTGGTGAGCCACGCTTGATCCCCATGCTTCCTCCCTCCCTCCCAGCATCACTGGCACAGCCAGGCATACATTCACCCACACGCCCATAAACTCAGCTCAAGGGTAAATATTAGAGACTCCTTCTGCCACATCTTAATGCAGCATGTGTGCACACTGGACAGAATATTTACCAGGACCAACTTTCCCCTTCTACAGCTAAACTCAGCCAGCCTTTAGCCTATTGGTATTCCTGTCACACAGAAGCCTGATTGCCTTGGCAGACAACTGGCTGAATGTGTTTTCTTTGATTTCTTCCCTTTAATCATGGGTAGCTGCAGAAACAATGGGAAGGTAGGAATAAAGGTTGAGTCAGAAGGCGGGGGCTGGGAGGCTGGCTTGAAAGATAGAGATCTGTAAGTACCTCCATGGTTATCAGTTCCTTATTTAACAACTTACCAGAGGCTATCAGACAATATTTTGCAACAACAAGATAGAACCATAGCAACCAGACTACAAAGAGAAGCCCAGGCTTCTGGAAAGGGCTTGGAGTCTCTCAAGAGATGTTAGCGCTTTCAGCTTCTAATTCTTTGTGTTTTTGTTTCCTTTCAGTAGCCACTGGAGATGCACCACGCAAAATGATGATCTGCTGCAGAAAAAGCAAAAGCAAAAAACAAAACAGAAACCAATGGGCTTGAGACTGGAATCCTTTAGTTGATAGAAATTTTAAATAGAAATCTTCTGATTTTCCACTCACATTTTCTTGGGCTGGTGATACAGCTCAATGAGTATGGACCCACCGTGAAGAAGCATTGGGTTCTAATCCAAGCACTGCATAAACAGGGTATAGCATTGCTTGCCAGTAATTCCAGGACTCAGGAGATAGAGGCAGGAAGATCAGAAATTTAGGGTCAGCTTCCACAACACGACAAGTTTGAGGCTACTTTGTGCTACAGGAGACCCTGTCTCGAAACAAACAAAAACTGAAACAAAGCACAAAACAAACAAAATCTTTCTTTTTGTTTGGTTTTTGGCTGTCCTGGAACTAGCTCTTGTAGACCAGGCTGGTCTCAAACTCACAGAGATCCACCTGCCTCTACCTCCTGAATGCTGGGACTAAAGGTATACGCCATCAACACCCGACCAAAACAAAATCTTACCTAAGAATATATTTATGTAGTTATTGTGTTAGAGCTGATTTTTTATGTTAACAATAATCTTTACATCCTTCTGCAAAAAAACACTTAGCTGTTCCCACAGCTTCAGCTAAGCCTGGTCCCCTCCTGTCAACAAGGCCTCCTCTACTACCTGCCTACTCACCTGTTTGCTTGGGCCTGGACCCACCATCTCCTGATCTTAGACCCTGGTGCAGCCTTTGCAAAAGAAGGAAGTTGTTACTAACTAGTGGAGCCAAAACTCTTTCCCTAACTATTTAAAGGAAAGTATTTTGTTCAAGCTCTCTTGAGGTTACATGGTGAGCTTCAGATTAGCCTGAACACAGGGGGAGACCCTGCCTCAAACATCAGCACCAAGAACAAAGTGAATGGCCCTCCAGAAGAATTGAAAGCAGTGCCTGTACTAGAATGCTCACAGTAGCAGTGTGCAGAATAGCCAAATGAAGGAAACCTAAATGTCCATCCCTGCAGCAGTGCATAAACAAAACATGGCCTTTTGTTTGGTCATAAAAAGCAATGCAACACCAATAAATATTTGAGGTGATGCTCTTATTTGATCATTACACATCATACATGTGTACCAGGATATCACACTGTATCTCAAACATATATACAATTATCATGTGTCAAATTAAAAACAAATTAAAGTACCTTGGAGAGAGATAATTCATTTGGAAAAGTGCTTGCTTTGCAAGCATGATGACCTGATTCAATCTCCAGAATCTATATTAAATAATAATAATAATAATAATAATAAAATAATAACAATAAGTATGTTCAGTGGCACATACTTGTCCAATGCTGGGGAAGTGGAGACAGATGGCTCCCTGGGGCTCACTTGTCAGTCAGACTAGTCTACTTGGTAAGTTCTAGGTCAGTGAGATACTGTCTCATTTTACAAAAAGGTGCATGGCACCTAAGGAACTATGCTTGAGGTTGTCCTTTGCCTTCCACATACATGGTGACACACATCTGTAACCTCAGCACTTGGGAGGTAGAGGTAGAAAGATCAAGAATTTAAGGTCATTCATGGCTTTATAGCAAGAATGAGATAGGGGCGAGGAGAAGGAAAAGAGAAAAGAGGAATGGGAACAAAGACAGCATTAGGATTAGGAGTGATAAGTAAAGGCAGTTGAAAAGTTATTTTCCCCTAAACCTCCAGCCTGATAGGGGACAATTTTTTTTTTTCGAGACAGGGTTTCTGTGTATTGTTTTGGAGGCTGTCCTGGAACTAGCTCTGTAGACCAGGCTGGCCTCGAACTCACAGAGATCCGCCTGCCTTTGCCTCCCGAGTGCTGGGATTAAAGGAATGTACTACCAACGCCTGGCTTAGAGGACAAGTATTGACAGCATGACTTGTTGCAGAAGTCACCCCTTGATCCACTCTGAATCTCAAGGAAAAGTTAACATGGTAGGTAAGGTGGAATTTGGTTGGGAACTTAAAGGCACACAATAAACAATATCATAACTATTTACAGGCAGTTAGAAATAGCTTAGGTGTGGAGGCTTCCCACAAGGCAAGATGAAATACTATCAGGAGTCAGGAGTTTTGACCCCTGGTTGAATGAGTGAATGACCATAAACTTGGGCATGCCATGTAACTTTCTGGGTCTTGATTTTCTCATCTAAGTACATCCCAGAGGAATAGGGCATCCCAAATGTTTTGTGGAACATTTAAAAGGTAATGATTGATTCCCTTGGGGTAAAAAGAAGATAACTTTGAGATGAGCCCCATGTTTCTCAGACTACCATCCCTTGAGACTTGTTACTACTCCGATGACTGGTTCCTAGTCCTAGAGTTTCTGATCCAGGCTCTTCTTGATGCTCAACTTGACTACATCGAAAATTCACTAAAACCCAAGCAGGTGAGCACAGCTGTGAAATTTTTTCCTGACTTAAATAATTAGAAATGTGATGACTCACTTCTAATCTGGATCTTTGAGGTGGGACAATAAACCCTGAATACACATCTTTTAAATTTTTATTTATTCTTTTTATTTTTATTTGAGGGAGAAAGACCCACCTTTAATCTGTACCATGCCTTCTGCTGGCAGCTTATGTAAAGGACATGGAAAAAGGAAGCTCACTCTCTTTGTCAGCTTGTTCTCATTTTCACTGGCAAGTTCATTCCTCACTGGTATTAGCGCCTATGTCTTCAAGTTCCAGATTATACTGATGACCAGCTGAGACATCCAGTCTCGTGGACTGAACAGCGACTGGATTCTCAAATTTTCCATTAGTAGACACCACTTTGTTCCACTAGCTGGACCATAGTCTGTAAGCCATTCAAATACTGCCCCGCCCCGTGTGTGTGTGTGTGTGTGTGTGTGTGTGTGTGTGTGTGTGTGTGTGTATGTATTCATATTCATTCTAACAATTCTGTTCCTCTAGAGAAATTGACTAATACATATAAGACAAGATGCAAGAATGAAATGCAGTTTAAAGAAGATGTGAGTTGCAAGAGTCAGGGTTTCTGGTCCCTAGTTGAATTACTATATGACTATGAACTTGGTCATGCCTCGTAACTGTCTGGATCTTGGCTTTCTTGTCTAAGTACATCCCAGAAGAATACAACATCCCAAATGTCCATGAACATTTAAAGCCTGGCAATTGATTCCCTTAGGGCAAAAAGAAGGAAAATTGGAGAGGAGACTAGTGTTTCTCAGACTGCCATCCCTTGAGACCTGTTACCAAACCCTTCTGTTTAACTGTAACTCCTTTGACACTTGTGGACCAGGGACTACCCTTTCAACTAGCTGTAATAAAGATCACAACCAAAAGCAAGTCAGAGAGGAAATGGCTCATTTGGCTTATACTTTTACATCATAGTACATCATCAAGGTTAAGTCGGGGCAGAAGGCCAAGGCAGGAATGTGGAGATAGGAATGTAAGCAGGGGCTATGGAGGAGTGCTGCTCACTGGTCTGTTCCCCATGATTTGCTCAGCCTGCTTGCTTTCTCATAGCACCCAGAACCACCTGCTCCAGGGTGGCACTTCCGACAGTGAGCTGAGGGCTGGGCCCTCCCACATCAGTCATTACTCAAAAAATTATCCCACAGTCTTGTCTACCTACTGACAAATCTGATGGAGGCATTTTCTCAATTCAAGTTCCTTCTTCCCAAATGGCTCTAGGTTGTATAATGTGGACCAAAAGCTAACAAATGCAGGGAAGGGACTGTGCCCTCAAGGTGAATGAGATTTGGAAGTGAGGAGAGGAGGACAGTAGAATAAACAAACAGGAAGCAGTTGTGACATAAATCAACAGACCTTGATGACCATTATGGGAACAATGATGCAGCTCGTCTTGGACAATGTCTGTTACCCACATCACTGATTCAGTACTAAAGGAGGAACAGGGGAAGGTACAAGAGGAATGGAAAAGCAATTTCCTCACAGACATGCTTTTGAAAGGCCTGAGCTTCTCTGGGAACCTCACAGAGAATTCCAGATAGTGTCACTGCTCATCTGCCAAAACATATTCCACTATTTTTTTCTTTTTCTCCAGAATTAAGTTTAACTAATAAGGACATTTCATATCAAACTATTATGGCATATATTCTTAAGGACAGTAATTCACTCATGGAGTCTGTCCCTAGATGCCATGTCACGGTACCTGGGTACTTGGTAGAATAGAGAGTGGGAACTGTTTTCTGTTCCCTCTGGTTCTAATTTCCTGGTGCTGTAAGTACAAGGGCAGGGCTCTACAGATGATCTCATTTAGAGCAATTCCTGCCAATTATTCTGATTATTTGGCTGACTTTAGATTTGCTCAAACAAATATCAAGCTCTCATTTTGGTTTTTGAGACAAGCTCTCATCACATAGTCCCAGATAGTCAGTTATGCAGTTTCCCCAGCCTGTCAGCTTGTAGAGATCCTCCTGCCACAGCCTCCTGAGTGCTAACATTATATATATAATGCATTTCATGCCTGGTTGTAATGTACACTTTTAAAATTTTCCCAAGGGTTTACTTACCTTGGGGTAGCCTCCTTACCTCTAACCTTGAAAAGAGTTGAATCTCCTTTCATGTTTTCTACACTTCTGCACTTTGGGGAATTCTCTCCAGCAGCTAACATTGGTTTGCAAAACTTTGATAAAGAGTAATGCAAATCCATTGAGGTCTAACTCTTACATACTTTATCTACTCCTTACTGTACATATATCTGAGATTTACATTATATTATGGAAGAAATCATATATATTATACAATAAGCATGTTTTAGAAGGAAGATCTGGGTTTTTATCTTAGCTCTCTCACATGGGGATCTAGGTGACCCCAGCCTAATAAGTCAAACTCTTTCATTCTGAATGTTTTATTTTACTCTTTTTTGTTGTTGTTTGAGAGTCTTAAATATCACAGGTTGGCCACAAACTTGTTAGATAACCAAGTATGATCTCCAACTCTTGATTTTCCTGCCTCTACTTCATGAATACTAGGATTGCAGGCTTGCACCACCATGCATGGTTTATGTAGTGCTAGTGATTGATCCCAGGGCTTAGAACAAGCAAGGCAAACATTCTACCAGCTGAGCTACCCCCCTAACCTACCCAACCCGTTGTTTGTCCTGCTGTCCTATATCATGTATTCCATTACACTATCTCCAATTTTCCTTAAGGTCTCTTCCTTCCTTCTTAAGATCTCCTTTCTACTTTTGTGAAGCATACACACACACACACACACACAGATACACACACACACACACACTCACAGGTGCATGTGCTCACACTCTTGTACATGTGCACTTTTAAATTTTATTATGCATATAAAAGAAAGCATGAAGTAGTTCTCTTTCCAAATCTGGCTCATTTCGCTTGGTGTAATGATTTCTAGTTCCACCCCATTTTTTTTGTAAATGTCATGATTTCATTTTCCTATATGGATAGATATAATTCCATTACGTCTATGTATACCACACTTCCTTTATCCATTTGTCAGACAGGATTCTTCAGCTTGGAAATGTATACAATCATATTCAACTTATCTTGATGTCTAATACCAACTTACAAGCCAAAGCCAGATTTCCTATACATTTGATTTACCCCGTGTTACCTACTAAGCACCCCAGTGAGCCAATGAGATACTTGAAAACTAGAAAAGATGAAGAAGTGATCATCAAGTTTAAAGACGATACAAATTTCAACCACTCTCTTTTCATCAGTTCTGTACTTTCTTAGTTCCATGAAAAAGGATACACTTCACGAAAGCATCACAATGACAGGCAGGAGACACTTTGTTAAAGCCATGAAAACTGAAGCAAGCTCTGAGGCACTGCACTGGAAATTTCTGTGCCTAAGAGTCAACCAGGAAGGCAGGCTCACAATCGGATTTGTCCATCTCCAAATGCACAAAGACACTCTTGGAGGTGACTTGGGCACTAACAGATCCTCACAGAAATGAGATGATGTATGAACTAGTAAAAAAACGATCCTTGTGTTATCCATAAGCCCCAGCAAGGTCATTATGGGGCAACTTCTGTTAAATGCCACAGAGGAGGCCACTTCCCTGCCTTCTCCTGCCAGCACGTCCCATGTGAAGGTTACCAAGGAAACGCTCCCTGGTGAAATAATAGTCATGTCTGTAACCGGGGAGATTTCAATGGCGACACTATTGTGTTCAGGGACACATCCTGCCAGGATTTCATCCACACTGTAGAAAGACAGCCTGGGAAGGGGGGCAAATCATTTTTATAAACAAAACTGAGTATACAGGGTGTTCCCTTACAGTGCTGGGCAAATAGCTGGCAAAGGGCTGTGACTTGGATGGATGAGTACAAGTGACACATTTTAAAGTTCCAATCGAATAAAAAGTAATTAGGTTTTACTTATATTTACAGAGTCCTTTTCAATCCATTCTTCAAGGTCCTTGGATCAAAAATATAAACAGAATGCAAGGAATATGAGAAATACCAAGACATCTTCAAGAACAATATTTTAGTGTGTGTGTGTGTGTGTGTGTGTGTGTGTGTGTGTGTGTGTGTGTGTGAATGCACTTATGCTGGCAGGCGCATTGGAACCCATACCAAATGTGTGGAGATCAGAGGATGATTTTCCTTCTGGGGATAAAGCTCAGGGTTGGAGGCAAGCACACCTGCCAAGCAACCTTGCCAGCCAGAGGACAATGTTTTATATAAAAATGAATGTTTTCCAGGAGGCTAGTAGTGCATGTCTTGGTGTAGGACTCATAGCACACACTTGTCTGGAAGGTTCAAATACTATGGCCTGAGAAATGGCTCTGTCAGAAAGTATGTTATGTCAGTATGTATGTGGACAATGAGAAAATACGACGTTTTAAGTTGAATTTTCCAGAAGAGACCTGGAACCAGGAGATACTCTAGGTAGGTCTCTCCATAGTCTCAATGAAGCATATTCTGAGCTCCTTTCTTACCCAAACAAACAACAGGAACTACTTGTGTGTGCATTTTCTGAACAAGGACATGGAGCCTGAGTGATCTGACCCAAGGCTATATACCTGGACGTACCCTAGCTGTGTCTAGAGCATCATTCCATGGACATTCATCCCTTAGTGCTAAAAGACTGCCGAGCAAAGTCTTGCTGTCCGCTTGGTTTTGTCATTTGTCCCTAAATACTCTGCCAGCTTCAAGCCTCTGTCAGACAAGGACCACATATCCAAGCAGGGTCTCAGTCAAGAAACAGGTAAGTTTCTTGTCCTGTATGACAGCCCTAGTGTGGGGTTTCTGGCTTGTATTTATTCCTTGCAATACCCACTCTTAGCCATATGAACAAACTAATCTATTTTTCCAAAATGACTCAGTTATCTCTGGAAACATTTACAATGTTTGGAATGTTTGTTTTTAATAATTTCCTGATCTGTGTGCAGTAAGACATTTGAATGCAAGACCTAACATGAAATCCCTTGCTGTGATGGAGTTGAATTTTGCTGTATACTCCCCTTTCATTTAAATTTAATCACAGGCAATCCTCAAGAGAGAGATGAATCTGCTGTAGCTTCCTCGGCGGTTAGTGCATTTATCAGAAGTGCTCTGTGCCTTTCATCTCATCTTCATCCATTTCCTTAAGCTGAAAAACCTCTGATAGTCTACTGTTTTCCTACACTGGCGTCTGGATATCCAGAGCCGGCTCCAAATTCTGCCATGGAGTGTTCAAGTATCTATTGAAGTCTCCTGCACAAGAGCATAAAGGAGGTAGAAGACCATGCACTGACCTTGGGAATCATGCAGCAAAAACAAAACAAAAAACAAAAACAAGGTAATGAGTGCTTACAGTTTATAATTGTGTAGACCTTTTCACATAGCAATTATTCTTCCTATATGTAGTTTAATCAAATAATTACAAGTATATATTTAAAGGTTTCACTACATGAATGTTTACTACTCCAAATTTTGTAATAAAAAACATATGGAAGGATTCCTCAAGTGACTAAAATTTTGATTGCTCCACTCCCCTCCCAAGCCTGAAAATTTACATGTTTCAGACCTATTCCACAGTGTGAGGGTGTTGAGAAGAGAGTCCCACAAAGGTAGCTAGGTTTACATGAAGTCAGGAGAGTGGGGTTCCATAATGGTGGGAGCATCCCTAGAAGGGGGAGGAACTAGAATGTTCTCCATCTCTCATCTCTCTCCTTTTCCCTCTGATTCACAAGGAAACATACAGCAAGAAAGCAGCTATCTCTAAGCCAGGAGAGTGTCCTCAACAGCAGTCTTGATCTTTGATCTTTCATCTTTCATACCTGAGGGAAAAAAGCTTATGTGTATACATGGCTCTCTGTGTATATGGAAGCCAAACATGAAGGATTGTGTGCCTTCC